TGTAAATATGCCAATTAGCTCATAAGCAATTCCATCCAAGTTTGATCAGCTCAAGACAAATTAATGTTAAACTCTTAAACTACCCAGTTAGCTAGTATAAAAATAACTTTTTTTATCATAAGTTTCATAATAAAAAATGATAATTTTTCATTTTTTAACTCAGTTTATTTACATATTACATGAAACTAAAATTATTTTATTTTTACTAATAAAAGATTACTACTAATCTTAATTAGGCTCTTGTCAAAAATTAATAAATTATTTATATTATATAATTTGATTAATGTAATATTTTTTTATATACTTAGTTGATTTTTATATCCTTGATTAATATAATCTTAAAATACCATCGTTGATCCGAGTGAAAGGAGTTTGGTTCCTCATAAATAAAATCTTGAGTTTGAGTCTTGTGAATAAAGAAACAAGCGTCGGAAAAGTTTCTCCCAAGTGAGATCCAACACGATTTGATTCTGAATTAGTCGGAATTCAATATGGTTATCGGATATCGAAATATTAATACCAAAAAAAAATATAATCTTAAAATAAAGACTTAATTGAAATAAATTTTAAAAAAATTTTAATTTTTAATTTTTATAAATTTTTTTATTTGTTTATTATTTAATTTTATAATTTTTAAAAGAAACATTTCATTAAGGACAAAGACCTTTCACTACTAGAATTCATAGCATCACCGAGAAGAAGCCATGTCGGAAAACAAAGGGGATCTTGTCAGTAAAAAACATTTTCAACAAGAATCATGTCGGTGATAGTCATGTCGGTGTCAGTCTGCTCGGTAATCAATTTACCGACGTGGCTTAAATTAACATCAGTAAATTCCTTTAAATTACCGACAAAAAGCATGTCTTTAATTGACTGCCGGAACCGTACTGCTAGAGCTCATTCCAAGTGAGTCACGTTGGTAAATTACCGACAAAATATATCTCTATAAACATTCACTGACAAAGTATAGCTAAGACCTAGACATTCATTTATCGACAAGAACTTTATCTGAAACTTAAATTAGTAATTTGCAAAATAATTAATAATTTACGTATGAAAATTGTCACCGACCAAATTGTGATTTGAACCAAATCTTAATTTACCGACAAAACAGTAATCG